AATTATGTAACTTGCAAGGAAAAGAATACAAGAGTCAATATTATTCCCCAATGTCATAAGCTTAAAAGGACCAACGAACTCTTAGTTTTTGTACCCCCAATCCCCTTTTCAAGACTGGTTGAATCAAAGGGTTCTATGAAATATTTCTAAAATATATAAAATACGTATTTTCTAATTCTTTGATTGTTGGCTAGATTTTCATATTTCAACTAAAAAAGTTTCTACTGCATAGGTTCCTATGGGTGATTTCCACTGTCACATGTTTAATTAAGACTGTATTGCTATTTGTACTTCAGTATTTGTCAGAGAAAAGAAAAGCAAGAGACTCACTTGAGCTCAGGATTTCAAGGCCAACCTGGGCTACACAGTGAGAGCCTGTCTCTCTGGAAAAAAAAAAAAAGAGAGAAAAAAACGAAGGCGGGAATGGGGAAGTTCCTTTTAAAAGTACCCCAAAAGCTGGGTCCAGTGGCTTGCACCTGCACCTCCTACTAGGGAGGCTGAGAGGGGAGGATCGCTTGAGGCCAAGAGTTTGAGACCAGCCTGGGCAACATAGAGAGACCCTGCCTCTATAAAAAATAAAAAATAAAAAAATTGGTAGGGCATGGTGGCACAGCCCTGTAGTCCTAGCTACTCAGGAGGTCGATGCAGGAAGATCGCTGGAGCCCAGGAATTCAAGGCTGCAACGTGCTATGATCATGTCACTGCACTCCAGCCTGGGTGACACAGTGAGACTCCATCACTTAAAAAAAAAAAAAAGGCCCTAAAAAGGCAGTGAAGAGATTTCTCCCACAGGTATTAATCAGATCTCAGTTATCAACCATAAAAGGTACTTTCTCTCTCAACTGATCTCCACATACACACAGGTGGCCACATTGGTCCAGAGACAGTAAAGAGCCTTGTCCAAATGACACAGCTAGTGACTAAAGGGCAGAGCCTGGAGAGAACCAGGTCTCTTGAGTTCTGAGCCTTTGCTCAGTTAAGGACTTCATCATCCTAGGTTTGGAACAAGTGGTTTCCTACAGCTCTTCAATTGAAACTTGAAACTTGCTCGTGAAAGGGAACTCAAAAGATGCATGTCCCCAGACTTTGGGGTCTCTGAAAAGACTTTCTAGTCTCTAGAGCTCCAGAGAAGTGGGCCCTGGTAAGTTGTGTTCAGAAAGTCAGTTGAGATTCCTTGTAAAGCATGAATCACTCTGTTTTGTGGTATTTGAACTGAAAAATGAACGGTCTTAAATTGAAGGCATCATATTCACATGGTAAAGGGCTGTATATTTGGACCCAACACAGCATCATAAAATACACTGGATTAAAAAAAATTTATAGGGCCGGGCACGGTGGCTCATGCCTGTAATCCTAGCTCTCTGGGAGGCCAAGGCGGGAGGATTGCTTGAGCTCAGGAGTTCAAGACCAGCCTGAGCAAGAGAGAGACCTCGTCTCTACTAAAAATAGAAACAAATTGGCCAAACAACTAAAAACAGAAAAAAATTAGCCAAGCATGGTGGCGTGTGCCTATAGTCCCAGCTACCTGGGAGGCTGAGACAGGAGGATTGCTTGAGCCCAGGAGTTTGAGGTTGCTGTGAGCTGCGCTGACGCCACGGCACTCTAGCCCAGGCAAGAGAATGAGACTCTGTCTCAAAAAAAAAAAAAAATTTATAAACAAGATGTTGGGATTAACATCATTTCTGTTCCAAGATGATGCAACAGTCATAACTGTACATACATATAACTTTGGAAAATCCAAATCAGTAACTTCTAGGATTTAAGTCAACAAAGAAAATCAACAGAGAAATAGGCTTGGATAAATTCTTAAATGTGGGATAAAGGACTAAAAATACAAATAATGCTACAAATACCTTTCAGAGAGGAAGAAAATAGCAGGTCAGTATATATAAATCAAAGGGAAATAAAAAGCTGTAGTTGGGGCTTTTAATGTTCTCATTGTGCAATTCACCTTAACATAGAGCAACCTTTGCACTACTCCCACAAGCTGAAAATTTTTTCTTTAGCTAAACTTATAGTATGCATGAGCTTGACTAGAGTGCTTCCAAGTCCATAAATCACCATTAATAATGCTACGAAAATAAAATACTCCCCATCCACTGTGCATGTCCCATCTTTTTAGCTATTAACCCAAGTCAGAACAGCCTATTCTTTATCATGATGACAACCACAAACATTGTCTGGAACGATAGGTTTTATGATCAACCTTTCACTATCTTTCTGAATAATCTTCTCAGAAGTAATCTAAATCCAATGTGTACAGCTTTATCGAATTCATTATTTTTAAAAAATCTATTTATATAATAGGTTCATCTCCCCAGTGAACATTTTGGGGTAACATGGGTTGTCCCTGCAGTAAGCTGATGAAACCCAAAACTGGGTTTTCTAACTCTAAATCTAGGGTCCTTCTACTTCACCGAAGAAGATGGTCAAGAAAGAAGAGCCAGTGTTCCTCTGTATCTGGCCCCGGGCCAATCCCATAACCCTAACCCCAGGCAACTGTGCCTTCACGGGTGCCTGACCACAGAGGCATATCGATCCAATCAGCCACCTTTCCCACAAAAAAGCAAAGTAAGGAGCAGATCCCACCACTGGTGGGGACATTACTTCCACATCCCCACAGCAGCCTGTACTCAGATGCACCAACTGTGGACATAGGCTCCTCATCTCTCTTAGCTGCATAAATTTCAGGCCTCATGGGCCCTCTCTCAGCGTAGCTAGAGTTACTGGCTACAAAAGAGGCATCCTCTTGTTTTGGTGTATAGCAAGAGGACATCTAACACTCTTGACAAGCCCTGCACTCTTGGCTTCAAATTCCAGCTCTGTAACTGGTTTGCTCTCTGAACCTCAATTTCCTCAGCACAAAAATGAGGGTGATGACACCTCCTCTCAGAGTCACAGTAATCAAAATACTCAGTTCAGTGCCTGGCAAAAAGTCAGGGCTCAACAAAGGCTGGTCTATTTTCCTACTGACCAATCTGTTCAGAACACTTTCTTGCCCATTTTCTGCATTCCTGGGTCAAAATCTACTTCTTAATGAACCCCTTGAATAGTCTAACCAAGTATGACCTCTCACCTGTTACAGTCTAGTTTATTAAAATCATCTCTGTGTATGGCTCTGATGGTGTTTAAGTTCAATATTCCAAATTTAATTTTGCTATTCCAAGTGTGATCTACAGACCAGCAGCACTGGCATTACGCAGAAGTTTGTTTGAAAGGCAGACTTTCAGGTCCCACCCCAGACTTACTGTATCAGAATTTACATGATACCCAAGCAGTATGTTTACATCTTAAAGTTTGAGAAGCACTGTTCTATAACACACGGACACTGAATAAATCAGAACCTATTAAGTTTCTAATTAAGAAATCAGTTGTGGCACTTCTGCTGTTGGTGGTGCTCTGTGAATCTTTACTCAGGCAGAAAGCAATGATTAACTATGGCATTTTCACTGGAAGGACAGGATGATTACAAATTTCTTACTTTGTGTCTTTTGAGTTTAAAAATGATGCACTAAGTACAATGCCCTCAAAGCAATAACTAAATCTTCTATATCAAGACAATCTTCATTTTATATAATAGGTAATTTGAATATAAGTAATATGAACATTCTGATAATATGTAAACTAATTAAACAACAGTTTGGAAGGATGCTTTCGATGTAGTAATTTCTTGTTTCTAGGATGCAACGAGTAAGACTGATTAGTAAAAAGCTTCCATAAATTGAAGGTTCTCAATACGGATGAAAAGGTTCTAAAGCAAATCTGTCTCTAATGTACACTATGTGATTCTGTGCACATGCCTTTCCCCCTTGCATCAACTTTCTAAAAATGGTTCTTAGTTCTTTCCAGTGATTCGTGAAAGAAAAAATTTTAAGGCCCCCAAAGTAAAATTTACCACCCAAATTCCTAAAATGAATCACTCTGGATGATGGAGAGGAGTAACTTTGTGTATCAGGAAACAAAAACCAGTCTGAGTGAGTCATCTTTGTGATCAAAGATAACACAGCCACTGCCAAGGGCTTGGCGCAAACAAATGGCTACAGCATTCACATGCCAGAATCTCATGTTTAATGGTTTCTCACATTAAAATGCGCAAGTCAGCTCCGTGAAACCAGGAAGTAGAACCCAGGCCACCACATAAATAACAAACTCACTCTCTTGAGTTTAAGTTCTCATCCTTCTGCTCCAAGTCCATTTTAATTTTTAGTAGAGAGATAAAGATGAAGGTGCTATTTTATTAAGAGGTAAGCAGAAAGGTAAAAGCTAAATAATATGACAGGATTCTGAAATGTTTCATAAGAAAATTCAATACTTTTTGGAGGCCTACGTATTGAGGCCTTTGATCCAAAATGAATAAGATAATCAGAAGGTGGCAGAGGTCTGAAAAAAATGTAACACAGGAAGTGGTAACAGGCTCTAGAAGCAGAAAAGCCTGCTATTTTATTTCATGCATGCTCTATATTCATGGCTCTTTTTCAGGTAGTCCAAGCTTGAAAGAGAAGATGAGTAGGAACTCATGCCCCATGGCAGTGTGCCATCTACATGCTACCCCCTCCACCCCCTAGCAGACTCCTCCAGAGTGAAGAGCCAGATGTCCTGATATCCTCTTGAACCCCTAGACAGGAGATAAACACCAGGACCAAACCTGCCCCACGCTGGCCAGGCTCAAAACAGGGATAATGCAAACAACAGGCTATGTTTTTCAAAAGGGGTATCTCCTATCAACATTACCTGCCCATTAGGCAGGGCTCCAAGGAAAACAGACACAGGTTCTAATGAGCTCCTGTACTCACAATGTAAGTACCTTCTTCTGAAATATTAGAGACCAGTTGGGAGTAATGGCAATAAGCCCCAGCCCCTACCTTCACAAGACCCCTCCCAAAGTAAAAAATAAATAAATAAATAAAAAACTACTATAATTTCTGAAATAAGAACAAGATAAAATATTCCCATAAAACCCCCATGCCCGGCCCCACTATTTCCACGTAGCATGACACTACCTCATAATGAAAGGAACAAAAGGTGCCATGCTGAGAGTAGAAGTAGTGCCATCCATTGGGGAAGGGTAGAGTCTCTCCAACACCAAAAGCAAGAGAAACATGCTTGGATGACGATTCGGTTCTGCCATATCACTGAAAAAAAATTATTATACATAAAAGATTTAAAATTTAAATTTAAGTAGTGAGGCACTATCTTCAAACATTTTTTCTCCTTAATAATGACGTTTATGAAGTAAGACTCTCTCTGATCAAGGAGTTTTCCTTTTTTCATTTTTTTTTCTCCCTTCACTTCGTATCTTCCTAATGTGCATGATAAGGAAAAATTACTGGCAAAGCCGTGGACTGGGCTTTTCCACATGATCCTCTTCTCAAAGCTAATCATTTGCTTAACTAGAGTGTCTGCTGTTTTGATTAGAGCTATTCATACAGTAGAGAGGTGCCTGTTTCAGAGTATGAAATGTGAAACTCTGGACATCCAAATGTATTTAAGAAAGCATGGACAAGCAGTGACTTACTAGGGCCAGAAAAGCAGTCTGCGCAAACTACTAATGTGAGGAAATACATCATAAACAGAAGTAAAATTCATTGGTGTATAATTTTATTTTCTAATTATAGACAACTAGTGTACATTCATACCAAGTATAAAAATTGCTGGAAAAATAGAAAAGCACATGTTCTAAGATGTCCATACTAAAAATTCTACTACCAGCTAGATGATGTGATTAGAAGGACAATGGTGAACTTTTCTATCTACCCTGGTTAAGATCGGAAGCCCTCTTAATGGCTTTGCTTAGTGTTTCCACAGTCACTGGTCATTTTTGCTCAGATAGACCAGTACCATTTATGATTACACGTTCCAGATTAGTCAGCTAAGTACTGTTGTTTCGCAATGGTAAGCCGCAACAGGCCAGTGATAAAAAATGACAGGTGTGGATTAAGCAAACTCAATATGTAAACACACAGATTTTTAAAAAAATAACAGGAAGAAAACAATTCTGAACAGAAGAAATCACTATGTTTCTAAGTTAGTTCCTATATAACACTGAAGAAACTGAAATTTTATCAAATTTAATATCAAAGGGGCTTAAAATATAAAATACAATATAAAAATATTTAGCTATGAGCAAATTAACATTTGCAAAAGTACCTGAACATAGAGCCTAAGTGAATACAATAATAACATACTACAATTAAATTTGCCATATTTTTGAACCAAATCAAAATAGTTGACTGGAACAAGGAAAACAACATTTCTTTGTACAGAATACTTTCCCTG